TGTGCCCCCACCACCCGGCCAATCTATGTGTTTTATTTATCTCTGCATTTATTTAGGTCTTTATTTTAGAGACAGAGAGATTTGATATGTAGTTTAGACTTACTTTTTCTGTCTTAGTCTTTTGTGATAGGATTTCAGGCATTTGCTACCTCACTCATTTAAAAAATTTACCAGCAAGCATGATTGTGCATGCCTTTAACCCCAGCAGATGAAAAGGCAGGTGGATTTCTGTGAGTTCAAGCTCAACCTTGTTTACATAGGAAGAACCCAGGACTACATAGAGAGACTATGTCTAAAAAAACAAACAAAAAATTTCTCCTGGTGGCTGGAGAGATGGAGCAGTGGTTAAGAGCACTTGACTGCTATTACAAAGGCCCTGAGTTTGATTTCCAGCAACCACTTGGTGGCTCACAACCATCCCTAATGAGATCAGATCCCTTCTTCTGGTGTGCATGCAGACAGAGCACTCATACACATAAAATACATGAATAAATAAGTCTTTTAAAACATTTACCCATGACTGTTTGATAATCTCCATCATAAAATCCAAGTTATCCCTGTAGATTTATTCCTAGGCTTTAGGATTCCCATTCTGCAATGAGGGTGACCTTGAATTATGGATCCTCCTGCTTTAATCTCCTGTGTATTGGGATTAGGTAGGACATCAAGCCCACTGTGTGTGCACACACATGCACATTTGGGAGTGCATGTCCATGTGTGTGGGCACAAATTCTAGTATGTATATGTGTGTGTGAAGGTCAGAGGTCATGTCATGTCAGATGTCCTCTTTAATCCTGGCCACAGCCATATTACCTAGAATATGTCCAGGCTTACCTTAATTACCCTCCACCAAAATAATTGTTCCTAAAATAAAATAGGTATTTTTTACACTTACCTTGTTTTTAGCGATTTTACTAATTATTCATTTTGATATTCTTTTGAGTCTTGTACATTTTATAACATTCGTTTATGTGTGTTTCTGGTTCATTTGAGATAAGGGTCTTGTTTTGTAGCCCAGGCTGGCCTGGCCTGGTGCTCTAGATACTCCTGTCTCTTGCTTCTTGAGTGCCAAGATTACAGGCTCGTGCCACTGCACGTGGTTAATTATAGTCTTTGGAGTGTGGGAGTATGACGTGTCAGTTCTAGTGCCTTTTAGAAAAGAGTATCATTAAAAGATAATACTGGCATTTTTACATCATAAAATACATATTTTGTAACTGAAGTATATAGTTTTGCCAGACTCAGTAATTTTTGTACAGACTTTTGAAAGCAGGGGTTGCTTCCAATATTGCTGTTGAGATATTTTACAAGTGTTTTTTTTCTTTTCTTTTCTTTTCTTTTTTTTTTTTTTTTTTTTTTTTTTTTGGTTTTTCGAGACAGGGTTTCTGTATTGTTTTGGAGGCTGTCCTGGAACTTGCTCTGTAGACCAGGCTGGCCTCGAACTCACAGAGATCCGCCTGCCTCTGCCTCCCGAGTGCTGGGATTAAAGGCGTGCGCCACCAACGCCCGACATATTTTTCTTTATGTATCAAAACAAAAACAACCCCCCCAAAATCTAACAACCCCCCCAAAAAACTTTCAATTCTCTTGCTTCTGCCTCCCTAGTGTCAGGAATATAGTTATGCCTACCTTCTTAATGGAATGAAAAACCTTGTTATTGCATTTTAATTTGTATGTTATGGTTCTTGTGTGGAGGTCAGAGGACAACATGCAGGAATTGATTTTCTTGTATATCACTTGTGTCCTGGGATGGACCTTAGGTTGTCAGACTTGGTGGCAAGTGTGAGTAACCAGTAAGTCACCTCCCTGACCCTCCGGAATCTTACAAATTTCACAAAGATACTCCCTTTGGATCTTTTCCCCTTCCAGCTGTTGTTTTGCTTTAGCAGAAAATGCATTACTGTGATAATTTTCATTTTTACTTTTTTTTTTTCCCTTCTGAGACAGGGTCTCTTTAAGTAGTTGTAGAACTATATAGACCAGGCGGGCCTCGAACTCACAGAGAATTGCCTGCCTCTGCCATGCTTGGCTTTTACTTTGTTTTTAATCTTCAACTATAATGAATGTTAAGTTTCCTAGATTGTTCTTTTAATGAAAACTTTCTCCTCTTTACAATTTCATTTTTAAAAATCTTTTAAATTTCTTACTTAATAATTTGTATGTGTACAGATATTTTGCCTGTATGTCTGACTGTGCACCACAATGTATGCAATGCAGTGCCACAGAGGCCAGAAGAAGCCGTTGGATCCCCTGGTACTAGAATTACAGACAATTGTAAATTGCCATGTAGTTGCTGGGAATCAAACCTGGATTGTGGGAGAGTAGCCAGTGCTGTCAACTAACTGCAGAACCATCTTCCCAGCCCCTAATTGCATTTTGTTTGTTTGTTCATTTCATTCATTCATTCATTTTGGTTTTTCTAGACAAGGTTTCTTTGTGTAGCACTGGCTGTCCTGGTACTAGCTGGTAGACCAGGCTGGCCTCAAGATCTACATACCTGTGCCTCCCAAGTGCTGGATTAAAAGCAAGAGCCACTTTACCTAAAGTTTTTGTTTTAAGTGTGTATATACACATGTGTTTGTTTTATACTTTGATACATATATATAATATTATATATATTTATTTTATAAATAAATTGAAGCTTAGTGAGGAATGTGCTGCACACCTCTTGAAAGGCACAGACAGGTAGATCTTTGTGAGTTCCAGGCTAGCCAGAGCTACTATGATGCCCTGTCTTTTAAAAAAAAAAAAAACGAGAGATTTAAATAATAGGACTAATAAATTGTGTCAGTGCCCAAACAGCCTCTGTTCCATTGTTTTACCATTTTTCTTCTTGTTTCTATTGCTGTGAAAAGACACCGTGGCCATGCAACTCTTATAAAGGAAGACATTTAATTGAAGTGGCAGATTACAGCTCAGAGGTTCATCCCAATATCATCATGGTGGGAGCATGATCAGAAGTCAGCAGGAAGGGTACTCAGTGTCACATGGGGTGGGGAGTGAGGGGTAAAGCCCACCCCGCAGTGACACGCTTCCTCCGACAAGGTCTCACCTAATAGCACCACTCCCTTTGGGGGCCATTTTCTTGCCAACCACCCCATTCCTACCTCTTCTCCCCTTACTTTGATGGAAATGGTTTGAGACACGTAATGCTTTCCTTTAGGATTTTAAACACCCATTATTTATTTATTTTTTATTTTATGTGTATGAGACTGGAGTAATGGGCAGTTGTGGACTTCCATGGAGGTGCTGGGAATCGAGCTCAGATCCTCTGCCAAGAAAATGCTCTTAACCATGGGGCCATTTCTTCTCTTTCCCCAATAGTAAAATTTAAAAAAAATTTAAAATCTTTTGTAAATTTAGCTAGGATTTTAATTTCAAACGATTGATTGTTCCCCTCAACCGTCTCTCTGTATTTTATGTCTTACATAATTATATTTTTAATTATTATTTTATATACTACATATAAAGTGTAATTTTTAAGTTATTTATGTATGTGCTTGTGTGCATGCATGTCACAATGCATGCATGCAGTCAAAGGACAACTTAATGAGAGTTGGTTCTCTCCTGCCATGTGGACTCAGACATAGGTTGTCAGGTTTGGTGGCAATTGCCTTTACCCATTGAACCATCTGACTGATACAGTTTTCATTTAACATTTAATGTGCTCGTTGTATTTGCTAGCTTGCCTAGTGACTTTAACCTCATTTTCTAAAGTCTGTTCTCTTTCATGTGTGGCCAATGAATTCAGATTAATGTATGCTAATAATTGTATAGAGATAGCTTTCATTTACTTGGGATTTGTATAGCGAGTTTGTGTGTGTTAGGGAATGCCTTTAACATTACAGCATGGCCTTAGGCTTCACTTCCTGATTGCACAGGGAGCAGTGTGGGCTCTCTGGTCTTTGTTAGGCATGCACATGTACATACACAAGACCCACGGCAAAGACATGGTCTTCTCACAGCCTAGTTTCTCCTTTCAAGTGGTTTTGGGTTTTGTTGATATGTATGTGTGTGTTTCTTCTCTCTGCCTAGGGTACTTCTGAACTTAAATAATTTTAGGCCATTGTTTTCAACAAAAGCTGTAAGTGGAACTGTTTGCATGATGTCCCTCCTTCAAATCAGATGCAATAGACATCTCTCTGCAAGTGGAGTTTTTTAGACACAACTTGAAATAACCACAGTTCTTAGGGGTGGGAGGTGGGATGTCATAGGGTTAGCAAGTTTCAGTTCTCTCGGTGCCTGCCAGCTTGCTGACTTGTACTCCCCTACCCATATCCAACCCTCCCTGTGTTTGTAGGGTGAATCTGTAAAATACTTGTTTTAAGCTTTCAGCATCAGCAGGTTGAACTAGATTGAGTTAAACCATGACACTTGTTCTTACAAAGCCCTGCCACTTTTGTGAGTAGCCTCTGAAAATGATGCACACTTTTGGTCTTTTAACTTTTTTCTTTTTTGACAGTGTCATGAGGCAGGTGCCTTCTTTTTAGGATTGGGGGAGTAGGGAAAGAGCATTTGTTCAATGAAAAGAACCACTGACAGGAAATGACATCAGAATGTCAACGTTATTGTTGCTGAGTGAGGAAAGAATATTTGCATTGTCAATAAAAAGGAAAAGTATATTTGTTCTGTTATTTATTAGGAAACCATATTGCTTTGCTTGCCACAAAAGTAGTGGTAGCCGAGGATGAGGACTAGCTCAGTTGAAGCTGCACATCTGGGTCTGTGGGGCCCTCTGCATGGGGACAGCACAGCCCCAGTATCTGGCACATCTTACCTTTCATTCCTGTAATATCTGCGAATCTGGGTAATTTAACAAAGACATAAATACTGGATGACATACTAAAAGAGCATTCTAATAACCCAGTACTGTAGAAGACTTCTCAGTAGCCTGATTCTTAGAAACAAAATTTGTTTCTTTGGTATACAATAGTGTGAATTATTAGGCAAATGAATAACTTGTCTCATTTATTAGCATTATCTTTTTTTTTTCTTTCCAGGCACATATTAAATTTCCTATTGACTACCCTTATTCACCACCTACCTTCAGATTCTTGACCAAAATGTGGCACCCCAACATTTATGAGGTAAGAAACATCTGTCATAACTTTCTCTGTGGACTTTTCAGATTAGGTCTTTAAAAAGAGACTAGGGATTTACCAGTCAAGACCCCGAGTTTGATGTCACACTACACAAAAAAGTAGTTTGGGCTGGAGGGTGTAGTTTAGTGGTAGAGCATTTGTGCACAAGAATCTAGGTTCAGTCACAACACCAAACCCGCCCCCCCTAAAATAGACTATATCTCAGTAAATTGTGTTTTTCTGTAATCACAGAGAAATATTCATGATTTCATACTTACTCTATATCTATAGTCTCTGGTTTAACTATTTAAAATCAAGGGTACTTTTATTATATAGTAATTATATTCCAGTTAAAGATTGAAGCGTTAGTAAGACTTTGCAGCTCATTGCTAAGATTATAATGCACACATGTTAACATTTGCATTTAAAAAATCTAGTAAAGTCATATAAATTTATTTGTGTACCTATCCTCTAACTTTACAGCAAGGTCACCTGTTGCTATGGTTAGAGACTCAGCTTTGGGGGGAGGATTTATCCTACTACATTTGGACTGGCCTCCTTGCAGGAGTTAACCGCTGTGCATTTGAGAGCCTCTTGGAGTAAATCCAAGGTGAGGTTCTGTTGGACAAGTCAGTGTGCCTGCAGGGAGCTTTTCTAGTAGAACTGTTGGTTGAAACATGAAAAAACATATTTAGCTTTGGGCTAAATTATGACAATACTGGAGTAATGCATTAGCCTAGTAGAACAGCCTTCTTATTTTTCACAGTTGCCTTTTCTTTTTTATTTATGCTTATTTCAGACCAGCTCTCGTAGTGTATCCAATTTGTAGCCTCCCAAGTGGGGTTCCAGACATGCACAGTTTTTGTTTTCTTCCACACAGGCAAACATGATGAAAAGGTGATGCGTGCTGTCCTACCTCCTACCTCCTCCTCTTCTAGTGTTTAACATAATCATGGTGTTAAGAACAGCAGTGGGGCTGGCGAGATGGCTCAGTGAGTGAAGGAGCTTACCGCCAAGCCTGGCAGCGTTCTAGAACTCACACTGGTGGAAGCAGAGAACTGAGTCTAAAGTTGTTCTCTGGTCTCTACACATACCATGGCACTTTCAGCCCCCTTCCCAATAAATAATACATGTCAACAAAAACAGTCCAAGATGGAGTCAGCATTGTGGCACATACCTGTAATCCCAAGTAGAGGCAGGTGGATCTCTGAGTTCAAGGACAGCCAGGGCTATGCAGAGAAAACCTCTTTCAAAGTAAATCCCCCCCTCAGAAAAGAACTAGTTTACTAGTTATTGCTCAAAAGATGTAAACTTTACTGTAGTATTTGTGAATTTAATTATCTAAAAAACACCATGTTTGTGAAACTAGTAAAGATGAAGGAGAAACTTGTAGACTAAAAGAATTAGTTCGGACAGTTAAGAGAGCATAAGCCTGGTGGTGGTGGCGGCACACATTTTTAATGCCAACACTCAGGGGTTAGAGACAGGCAGATCTCTGTGAGTTTAAGGCCAGCCTGCTCTACAGAGTGAGTTCCAAACAGACAGGCAGCCAGGACTTTACACAGAGAAACCCTGCCCCCCCCCCCAAATTAAAAAGTACATAAGATCTAAGTTGAGTTTCTGTCATTTTTGTTTGGCTCTCGAAACCTACTATAACTCTAGCTCCTGGGAGCTGACACATCTAGCCTCTGCAGGAATCTACAGGAATCTTCATGGATATACCCACCCCTGCATATATGCAATTGAAAATAAAACCTTTAAATAAAAAATTAATTTAATATGGATTTTCCATCAGCAATGGAGCCAGTTCTGGAACTCGCTCTGTAGACCAGACTGGCCTTGAACTCACAGAGATTCATCTGCCTCTGCCTCCCGAGTGCTGCTGGGACTAAAGGCGGGCACCTCTACTGCCCAGCTAGCAGGTTTTCCTGTTACATGGTTTAGTGCACTCAGAAGTATACAACTAGAATCCTGTTGTTTCATAAACACTATTGTATTCATACAAATGATTACAAACCTGACAGATAGGATGACTCAAGTAAAACATTACTGTTGGTTACTCCTACCAGCAAATTTAAAGGATATGGGAGATGGGCTGGAGAGATGGCTCAGCTATGAAAGGCTAGGCTCACAACCAAAAATAAAAGTATGCGGGAGAGCCTGGTGCCATGACAATAGCTACAGTCTAACCCTAGAGAGGCTGAGCCCAGGAGCTAAAGGCCAGCCTGGGGCTAAAACAAGCCAGGCAGATGCTGGATTGATAGTGGTTACATATAATTTTTAGAAATTATATTTGAATCCTGGAACTGGCAAGATAATTTTTTTTTGTTTACTTTCCCACTTTTTTCTACTTTCTCACTGCTTTCCTTCCCTCCTCATCTGCCCCCTTGCTGACGTGTCCAGTGTTGCCAGTGTGGGTTTGAACGTTCTCGTGCTTGTAGGATGTGATACATGACTGCCCCGCTTGTGTAGTGTTTGGTAATAAAGCCATGGTTAGGCAGTGACTTCAGCAGCCAAGTGGGTTAGAGATCGAAACAAGTGGAGGCACATCTCTTTTCATTAGTGGACTAACTTGAGTTACTTTCTTTTCTAGTGGATAGAATTATCTATCTTGTAAAACTTACAATTTCTCTGAATATTAGCTTTAATGATTTATCCTAATTAAGAATCAACTGGCGCCAGGCCTTTAATCCCAGCACTCGGGAGCACTCGGGAGGCAGAGGCAGGCGGATCTATGTGAGTTCGAGGCCAGGCTGGACCGACAGCCTCCAAAACAATACAGAGAAACCCTGTCTCGTAAAAACCAAAAAAAAAAAAAAAAAAAAAAAAAAAAGAATCAACTGGTAAAGCTAAGATAATACATTAGGTTTTATCGTACAGATTATATATTATGGTCTTATGATCTTTCAATCTTGAGATTGTTTACTATCTCATTGTTATTAAACATGTAAAATTTAAATACAGAATCTAAAAAATTTAAGGTTTGGTGTAAAAATATGCTTTGCTTTCATTGTCCAAATATTTTAGGCACATTTAAAGCCATTTAGATCAGGTTTTGTTTTTTGTTTTTTGTTAAATTGGGCTTTTGAGATAAGATCTTGCCATGTAGTTCAGATTAGCTTCCAACATGTCATCTTCTTCCTCACCTTCCCAAGTATTGGGATTGTAGGCAGAAACTGGATGCCCAGTTATAATCAGTAGATTTGACAAAAATGACTCGATGCTCATTGAGTGCCATCCTTGCTATGATTCTGCTGTGGTGATGAAATACCACAACTTCAGGAGGAAAAGGTTGTCTGGCTTGCATATTCTAGATCACTGTCTACCAAGGGAAGCTGAGGCAGTGGACAGACAGAGTCTGCCTCCTGGTTTGCTCAGCCTGCTGTCCTGCACAGCTCAGGACCCTGCACAGGGGTGGTCCTACCCACATCCATGTCAGTGGGTGATCAAGAAAACCCCAAATGTGTGTCTGCAGACGAGTGTAATGTGTATTTTCTCAATCAGGGTTCCCTCTTCTCAGATGATCCTAGTCTGTGTCAAATTGGCATAAACATTAGCACAAGTGGGAAGTAACAAACTCAGTCATAGTTGGATTCGCATAAACAACAACAAAAAAGTGATTTTTGATTCCTACTAATAAAAACCTGTTCAAAAACTACTGAAAAATATACTGAAGAGGCAGAGGCAGGAGGATTCCTGTGTTTGAGGCCAGCTTGGTCTGTAAAGTTCTTTACAGAATTAACCTAATTGAAAAGTAATCAGAGTTAGCACCAAGTGTGTACTGAAGAGGCCAAAGCAGGAGAATTACCAAAGCCCAGGGTCTGAGGCCAGACTGGGCAGCAGTGGGTTGAGAACCTGATAGTGAGCTGAAATACACACCAGACACAGTGCGACTTCACACCAACACAGTGTAGCTGTGTGTGCGCAACAGAAAACAAGAACTTGTAAGACTGAAAAAACTGGAATTGCCCCACTCTGCTGGTAACTCACAAGATGGTGCAGTGCTGTTAGAGAAAAGGCCCATGGACGTTGAACACATGCCTCAGCCTAACCCCACAATTCCAGTCCAAGGGAAAAGAAGCACGTACTCAGCGGGGATAAGCACACAGGTGTAGAGAGCTGCACTGTTGACATACAACCCCATTGTCCAACAGAAACTCAGCACAAACTCCATCCAGGAGTTGGCATAGTTTTCAAGCACCTACTACAAGGTAGAGGGAACGCTGAGACAGTGAACTAAGTGAAAGAAGTTAGAAAAAGGTTGCATATTGTATGCTTCCATTTATAGTAAAGGTTCAGAGTATTAAAGGTACTAAATCTAAAAGCAAGTGTCTAAAGACTGGGGGATGAAGTGATGGGAAACCCAGTAAGTAGTATAGCATGAATAATAAAAACCCAGAGACAGATATTGGGGTTTAAGCTGAAGATCAGAAAAGCAAAGCAGCCACACACTAGAAAGTTCTTAACTATGAAATGTACAGACTGAAAAAAGGCAATCCTGCCTCCATGAATCCTCAGACTGAATGCCGCATGAGACCCTGAGCTCCTGTCTTACATGCCTCTGGGATTAAGGGTGTACACAACCACCATTAAGCCTCTATGGCTAACTAGTGTGGCTGCTAGGATTAAAGGTGTGTGCCACCACTGTCTGGCCCCTATGGCTGTGGCTAGCTTTACAGTCTGATCTTCAGGCAAGCTTTATCATCACAAAGTAGAGTTTTAAACAGATGAGATAGAAACTTGACAGCTACTTAAAGGACAGTGCTTTGAATGCACTAAAAACCACTGGATTGTGGGTTTTTTTTTTGGGGGTGGTGTTGGGGTGAAACCAAGGGCCTAAGGCGTGCTAATACTGAGTTACACTTCTAGCCAAAGTTTTCCCTGGCATTTTGTTAACCTTTTGCTTGCTTGTTTGTTTGAGTTTATTTGAAACAGTATTACTTTTATAGCCTTGAAACTAGGCTAGCCATGAATTTAGAGATATCCAACTGCTTCTGTTTTCCAAG